GAAACCTTTGGAACAGGTTTCCAAGCTTTTTATTGCAAAGACTGACTGTATTCACTAAGTTTATTAACATATAAGCATGAACTATAGTTATATAGTTCTTTACTATGTGGAAGGTGTTTGTGACGAGTCAGTTATAACATGATTAATCCTTTTACTCTTTCCACGGGACGGATTTTTTTATGCTGTGATTTTTTTTTTAATTATTTTTTTTATTTGTTTGTTTGAATCCCTGTTTTGAAAATATTCAGATTTCAGTCAAAAATCACTGGGCAAGATATTCCAAAAAGCCATGTTTAGGATCATGACCACAATCTAGGCTAAGTAGAGAGAACTTATTCCCCAAAATACGTCACAGGATTCTGCGGAGCTGTTATCCAGGGAAAATGCATGTTTCTGTACAACTTATTCCGTAAGATTCCTTTTATTTCTTCCTATTTCTTGACTTGAAGGAAGTGCTTTATAGTACTTCTTTATTTCTGAGGCTGCACATTAGTAAACTCAAAAAAACCCCTCTGAAGAGCAAGTATTTTCAGTCAAAGGAAAAATGGAAAACGTTGTAGGTGTCAATCAGTCAGGGATAGAAAGATGGGCAGAATGAGAAAGGTAGGGAAAGAATTAGCTGAAAAACAGACTGTCAGAAGAAAACACTGCTATTACAATCATAGATCTACACAGATACAGGGGAAGGCTCTACTTAAAGCCAGTTAACAAAACGGGTTTATTAAGCATCAGGAAGAACAAAACCTGCTACTTACTCCAAGAACAGTAAAAAAGTGCTAGGAACCAACCCACAGCCTATTTTCATGGAGTTCCTGTCTGTGCTGGCAGGCCAGGGCTACATTTCTGCAACTCTATTAGAAATAAATCACAAAAAGCTTCAGTCAGCTGAAGCAAAGCACTGTAAATATAAGTGAATCGTATATGAAGGGCCAACAAAGACTTGCCCGTGTGTCCTCCTCACACAAAGCAATGACTTGATAGCACCATCTTCTTCCTCCATTTCCCCTAATAAAATGCAGGGATTGCTTTTGCTTGGAGAGACACGAGGAATCAGAATGCAGGGTGCTTTGAGTTGAAAGCTCATCTCGGTCCAACTCAGGGACACGTTCCACTAGAACAGGTTTCTCAGAGCGCCATCCAGGGAATTTACACTTGGAAGCAGCTTAAAAAAAAGTCAGGAGGAGGGGAGGAAAACAGCTCCCGTGTCCTGCACAGGTGAGCGCCAGCATGGCCCTCGCACCTCGCTGCGTGGATTGAAAGGCTTTTGGTGGTCAGCGCGGGCTGCTGTCGGGGCGAGGGGGTGTCGGGCCAGCAGGGTTGGGGTCCCTGTTTCCCGTGCGGCGTTTCGGGGCGCTGCCGGCGGCCCTGCCGGGTGCAGGGTCGGGTAACGCTGTCGGCGCTGGGCTGCCATCCCGCTGGGCACCACGAGAGGGCAGCACCGCCCTTCGCCGGGCAGGGGGCACGGGCGCAGGGGGAGGCCCAGGCTGGACCCCCAGGGCTGTTCTCGACATCCTACAGCTCAGGAGTCCTCGGATTTGTCTGCAGGCCGTTGCCAAGGCAGGGGTTGATTTATTTTGTATTTATTAATTTTACCTTTATTTTTATTTTATTTTATTGTCTCCTCGTTTGCACGATAAAAAGAAAGTCGCACTTCCCTGCTTGGAGGGGGGCACTGTTTGCCCTGCTCCAGCCTGGAGTGAGTTTTTATGGGCAGGTTTATAAAGCCCTGCACAGCCAGCTCTGTAATACTGACAGACCTTCGAGTGGAGCTGCTTTAACACCTCTGCTCTGACAGCAGCAGCACTGTGGGTCTCAGCGATGGCAGCACAGCAGACAGATATTTTGGACTGTTGGCAGCTTGTGCGTACTTTAGAAACCTTTATCTTGCTAAGGCAGTGGAGCCCTTTCAGTCTCCTCATGGGGAGGGGCAGGAATTCGACATGAACAAGGCAAACCCCTTCCACTCCTGCCAAAGCTGCTGTTCTGCCCGGAGCCCCGGGCTGCCTGCAGCAAGGAGTGCTTCTCCATGCTGCGAAATAGTGACAGTGTCCTGCATAATTTCCTACCTGGAATCCAGTTACATTATTCCATTTTGAGCAGCAGGGAAGCAGAGTCTCTAAAAAAGTACACTCATGTCAGGTCACAGTGGCTTCTGCAGACTCGGGGTTGCCCAGAGTTTGCAGGAGGGGGCACAGAGGAGACAGGCAGAGCCAGCACAGTGTTTATTTGTCCCAGCTGAAATCGCTCTCAGCGGTGAACCCTGCTGGGTACAGTGAGTGGGACCTTTCCCTGTGGCTACTTTCCAATCCCTACTTGCTGGAAGCTGGGAAGTTTAAGCTACTTGAATTCTCTTGCTTCTGGCGAGGTGGACTTTTCACAAGGAGATACTTTAGGCAAAAACTTGTTACAGTGTGTAAGGGGGAAGTGATGGGGTGAGCCTTGTTCTAGAGCAGTCACCTTGTTCTAGAGTGTCACAGCACTGAGGACCCGCCAGCCCCTCTGTGTTCCCTGTGCCCTCCCTGGAAGGTTTTCTTCTGCAGCCTTTGGTTCTTCCTTGTCATAAATCCTGTGGGATTTAACTTCTAGCTACTGATCCTTTTGGACAGTAATGGGCCTTTAACTAACGAGACATACAATTGAAAATGTAAATCCCTTTCCCTTGGGGAATCAGAAAGCAGGTTTAAGATGCAGGCCATGAAGTGCAGGAGTTCACTGAAGTCGCAAACGAGGCCTGATTGACACTGATCCTGCCCCTCAGCCACAGGAGCGAGTACCTGTTTCCCGCGTGGTGCTCAGTGAAGGGGCAGGCTGGGGGAGCAGGAGACCTGAGGTCACCTCCGTCCTGAGCTCCGTGAGCAGATGCCAGTGGCAAGTTGCTGGCACGGAAACTGGTGTATCCCGCAGCCCGTCTGCTTCGTGTCCGGCTCCGGACTACGGACATTTGGGAAAACTAGTGACGCCAAGTCCCGTGTCACACCTAAACCTGGGCCCCGCAGGCTCCCTGTCCCCGAGCTCTGCCTCAGCACCCGCCCGGTGCCCGGGCCGGGCAGGATTCGTGTCCGGGCCGGCCCCATGTCCGTGCCCAGGCCGGGCAGGCTCAGTGTCCGTGTCCGTGCCGGCTCCGTGTCCGTGTCCGTGCCGGCCCCGTGTCCGTGCCCAGGCCGGGCAGGCTCCGTGTCCGTGTCCGTGCCGGCTCCGTGTCCGTGTCCCGGCCGGGCAGGCTCCGTGTCCGTGTCCGGGCCGGCTCCGTGTCGCTGCCCCGGCCGGGCCGCCCCGCGGGGGGCGGGGGAACCGCAGCGCCCGGCCCCGTGCCCGGTGTGCGCACGCGCGGTGCGGGCAGGCGCGGCTGGCGGCGGACGCGGCGCTCCCGGTGCGAGCCCCGAGCGGCACCGCGGCCGGGCCGGGCCGGGCCGGGGCACTGCGGGCACCGCGGGGCATGCTGAGCGCGCCGCGCAGCCTGCGAGCACAGCCCGCCCGCCGCAGCGTCGGCCCCGCCGCGGGAGAGCCGCCCGCCCGGGCCGGTGAGTGCCGCGGGGCCCGCGCGCGGGGACACGGAGGGGCGGCCGCGCTGCGGGCGGGACGGGCCGGGATGGGATGGGACGGGACGGGATGGGATGGGATGGGATGGAGGGGCGGTGCGGTGCGTGGCGGCTTCGGGGGTCGCGGCGGTGCGAGGCCGGGGGGGGGGGGGGGGGGGGGCGCACGGGGCGAGCGGGGCCGGGAGCGCCGGGCACGGCGGGAAGGCGAGCGCGGGGCGGCCCCGGCGGCTTCCGCTTCCTCCGCTCCCTCCCGCCGGCCCCGCGGTCGGGCTGCGATCCCGCGGAGCACGGAGCGAAGCCCGGCCGGGAGCGGCTGCCTTAAACAGCGCAGGGACGTTCCGGGGGCATCGCGGAGCTCCTGCGCTCTGCCCGGTGTGTTGTGTGTGTGTGTGTGTGTTTGAACGAGAAGGGCTGTCCCCACGGATATCGGGGAAAGAAAGGCATTTCCCCCTCGGGCACTGAGCAGGCTCCCCAGGGCAGTGGGCAGGGCCCCAAGGCTGCCAGAGCTCCAGGAGCGTTTGGACAACCCTCCCAGGGACTGGGGGGGTGTTGGGGTGTCCTGGGCAGGGCCAGGAGCTGGATCGATGGGCCTGGTGGGTCCCTTTCAGCTCGGGATATTCTGTGGTTCTTTGAGCTGTTTCTCAAAATAAATATAACCAAATTAATATTTTACATTAAAATAATAAATTAGTAATATGTAGTAGTATGTATACATTTTATAGTTTATAAAAATACATATGTGTAAAACACTAAGTATAAAATAACGTTAAATTATCGCTTATTTTAAATTTAAAATAATAAACACACATTATAATATTTCTTATATATTGCATAATGGTATATAACAGAATAAAATAATTTGAATAAATTAAATAGACCTTTAAAATAGACCTTTTTTTTTTTTTTTTTTTTTTTTTTTTTTTTTTTTTTTTTTTTTTTTGGTTTTCAGTGGTTTAGTTTGAAATAGTCTCCCAGGGATCAAGTAAGGCATGGTAGGACCTCAGCTTTCAGGACCATGTGGCTTAGGGCATTTAAATATGTACACACAAGCCCATGTGTACTCCCTGTACTTCCAGAAGCTCCTGATAACCTGACCTTATTTGTGAAGTGTGTCAGACCAAAATTCAGGACGTGGATGTGTGTTCTCCAAGGCTGCTGTGCCACTGGATTTACTGTTCCAAACCATTTCACCTTCTAAACAAGATGTTCTGTAACCACGTATTGGTATTGGTTTGGGCTCTGAAATTCAACCATTTGTGGGATTTTTTTTTTTTTTTTTTCCCCCCAGAAGATATAATTAGTAAAAATGGAGTGTAAAATTCGAGTAGTGTGATTGTTTGCCAGGCCTTTCAGATAGAAAGCATCATAACTAGATCCAGTCTTTGTTTTTTGTACACAGCTGATAAACTGTCCTGCTATTTCAGACATTCCTTCTCCAGCACTGGGTTTCCTTTCCATCGCAGAGATAACCAGCAAAACGATAACTGGCTGCTTACAGTGTTTGCTCTAAAATCCATGATATGCCTTATGTAGCCTTTGGAGGAAAAATAGCCTGATCTATTTGTAATTTTTTTTTTTCAAATTTAAAATTAATAACAGTCTTCCAATCCTGTTTTTTAAAGGAGAGCATTGTCCTCAGCCTTAGCCAAGCTTTCTGCCCAGTTGCTTCAGTGGGTCCTCATCAGTATTTATTTTAGGTGGTGTAAAAGAACTTTTCTTGCTCACGTGGGTACCCCGAGAAGACAGGGAGTGGAACATGGAACGTTCTGCTGATTATTGCTGCCACAACACTTGGTTTTCCACTGTTGTTCCCTTTTGACCTGCTTCTGTATTAACTCAAATTCCTCTTTTTTTTTGTTCTAAGAACACAAACTGAAGATCTCTGTTGCTTAGAATTTAATTTCCGTGCAGTTCATTCTATGATTCTTTTCCCCCCATGCAGGTGTGCAAAAATGGCCAAGAGAATTGCAGAGAAGGAACTGACTGACCGAAACTGGGATCAGGAGGATGAAGCTGAGGAGGTAAGCTAAGCATTAGTTCCCCACCACCACCCCTGCAGGTGGCAGAATAGTTGTTGACATGTGCTGTTCATTTTGTGGGTAAAACCTACAGTAAAAGTGGTTACGAGTGTAGCGATTAAAGGCAGTTTTATAGAAGTGAATTTTATAAAATTGCTTTTTATAAAGCTTTTAATATATGCAGACCCTATGGCAAAGCAGCTTCTAAGACTGAAAGTGACATCAGTAGCTCGGGGGAAAGGAACTTTACATTTCTAGAGGGAACCCTAGGCTTGTTAAAATGCTTTTGGACTCTTCAAATGCGTGAGAGGTATTTATTGAATTCAAGGAAAAGCGGAGTTGATTTCTTATGATAATGTGTCCAGGTTGTTGGCGAGTTAATCACTGCTGTGTTTTTCGGGTGGGCTCTGGTTTAACTCCTTTCCTTGTTTGTTAGGGAGCAGGATTAGAGTTGCGTTCAAAAACCACTGTGCCTTTTGAGAATTTCAGTAATGATTCCCTGGCTTGCTCCTGCAGGTGGGCACATTCTCAGTGGCCAGTGAGGAGGTGCTGAAGAACAGAGCCATTAAAAAGGCAAAGCGCCGGAACGTTGGATCAGAGGTAACGTGGTCACTGGACACGAGTGTTGGGGACAGACTCAACTGCAAAACAGGGCGCCAGGCTCAGGGTTTTACTTCCATGGCCTTGTGTGGTGATGCTGCATAAAGTTGTCATTTCACCCAACAGCTCGCACGTGCAAGTGAGTTTTTGCTTGTTGTTCCATGGCAAGGAAAAGGTCAGAAGTGGTTAACTGGTATTGACTGGGTGAAGCCAAAGCCAGGACAATAGGCTGGATAAAGTCTAAAAAGCAGAAGAAATGACAGGACAGCTGAGGTTGCATAAGAAACCTGTGAAATATTTACAGAAAGGTAAACTTGAAATTTACTGACATTCCTACATGCAGCAAGCACAGTGCTGCAATGAAGGAGACTGCACTGAACTGCAATGTCCAGAGAGGTGAGACTGAGCAGAGAGACAGGATAAAAATCGCTGCCTAGGAGTGACAGACGGGACTGCAATGGAAAAGGTAAAGCACAAAGGGAAGCAAAAGCAGCCCACAAGGTCAGAATGGAATACAACCTAAAATTGGTTAAGCTTTGCCATTTCTTCAAGGGCAAAAGCAGATGAAACGCAGAAGCAGATCTCCTCCTCTTGTTTTCCTCCTCAAGTTTTCCAGAGACACTAGAAGTTCACTTCCTGGAGTAATATTTCATTACCTCAGAAGACCGAAAAGTACCTACTTTAGGCAGTGCCTATTTGTACGTTAATCACACTGTCTTTTGGAAACATGAGGAACTATGCCATAAAATAATGTGGTTGTAAAGACTGTTCAGAACTGGGTAATGAAAAGGCTGCAGAGACACGTTTTGTGATCGAGTACAGTCTGTCTTTGCTTCTCTCACCAGTCACGTTGGAATATTTTGGGTAAATCACAAATGTTTCGTAGGTGACTCCAAAATAGGCTGTTTTGGATGAGGGCCTTGAATTGTTAGACCCTTAATTGCGGTTTTAAGTGCTAAGAGTTGCTGAAAATAAACCTGCAATTATACATTGCTGTGTAATCATTTAAAGAAAACAACGTGCTATGAATGTCTGAATAGGCAGTCAAACACATCCGCTGCTCTGAACAACTTCCGTGTATCCACTTCTCAGATCCAGTTTATTTTCATACGAAACACCTGAGTCCTCCAAAAGCAGTAGCAGTGTGTCACAGGGAAGCTGCTCACTGTGTTTGCAGAGCTGACACAGTAACACACGGAATGACACGCTGAAAATGAACCAGGGATATCGGGAATGTTGAGTGGGAATGGGATTTGTGTGGAGGAGATGGATGTAACTGGTTGTCTCTCTTCTTTTCTCTTCCCCAGTCTGAAAGTGGAGGAGCGTTTAAAGGGTTTAAAGGCTTTATATTGCCTTCTGGAAAAGGAGGAGGTGGCTTTGGTGGATTTGGGAATGGTGCAGGAATAAAGCCTTTGGAAGGGCTGTCTAATGGAAGCAGTACTGTCTCTAGCACTCCTCCTTTCAGCAGTGTGAAGACCACTCCTGAAACACCATCAGCATTTGGTAAGTTTTAAATAAGCATATCTGAACACATTCACCAATAAAATCTGAATTTTACTGATTAGAAAACAACTTCAGACTATCAAAATCAAAAAGATTTTGAGACTTCATTCCTCTTCGTGAGATTTCTTGAAAAGATTTTAGGCTGCTGGAGTGACAAGTTATCCAATGAATGCAGTCTTGAGATGTAGGAACTAAATCTGCATTTGCTCTAATACTGGAGGTAGAAGTTAGTTTTACAGGCACAAATGGGAATGGAAGAAACTGGCCTAAGACACTCCTGGAATAGTATAAAGCAGCTGGTGACATGTTCCAATTAAACAGTTGTCCTAATTCTTTAATTAAAAAAAACTAATAGAAATTGTCCATATGGTAAGACTACAGTTTCTTGGTGTGATTTTTATTTTTAAGGTCTTGTTCCTGTTTATTTTGCAATTCTTGGTAAATATGTGCTGCATACCTCTTGTCTTAACCTCTTTTCTCCTGTACACCTGACATGGCAGTCTTTCTCAAATTTCATCTGTTACATTCATACCTACATTTTAAGGCACTTGGAATACTTTGGCAAGCCCCTGAGGAATATTAGCTCTGTCCCTTTGTGCTGGAGATGGAGAAATGTTACCACTGCCCCAGGATTTTGGAGTCCATGTGCTTATAGAATACAAATGGAGAAGTTTTGAACTCCGGAGTAACTTAGATTTCAGTGAGCTTGACTAAATTAAGGGACACTGAAATTCTCAGGATTTTCTTAGTTTGCTGCCTATGTTTTTTATATGGAAACCACTCAAAGCATGCAAAATCATGGGCTAGTGCATTCAGGGTGTTTTAAAGTGCAAGAGGTAACTTGACTATTTTGATTTAGTGTTACGGTGTTGTAAAGCTGTAAAAACTTTGTGAAATTTTTGGCAAAATACAAAACTTGTACTTGTTCTGTACAAGATTTTCTTTTCTTTTTTTTTATTCACCAGCATGCTCCGTCTACTTCATCTGTCCCTGAACAAACTAACTGTTCTAAATTCAAAACACGGGTCTGTGTCGCAGCAGTGTGTGCTCACTGGTTCAGCAGTACCTGGGGGAGGTTTTGGTTGGATCTCAGGAAAGGGTCCTTCCCCCAGAGGGTGGTTGGCACTGAACAGGCTCCCCAGGGCAGTGGGCACAGCCCCAAGGCTGCCAGAGCTCCAGGAGGGTTTGGATGATCCTCTGGGGCACAAGGGGTGTGTCTTGGGGAGGGTCCTGTGCAGAGCTAAGGGTTGGACTCGATGTCCTTGTGAGTCCCTTCCAACTGGACATATTTTGTGGCCCAAAAGGAGCATAACTGAGCAGGGATGAGTGACTTGGTAAGAAATACGGGGAACACTGGTTGGGCTTTTCAGAGAACTCTGCTTTCCGGGGAAAAACAACGTTCTCAGCCCCGTTCTTCTTGTACCAGGGTCGCCCGTGTCCAACGGCCCCGGTGCTGCAGCGCTTGCCGAGACCAAGGCCAAGGGGGGCAGGCAGGGCTCGTACCACAAGCAGCTGGCCGCCCTCAACTGCTCCGTGCGCGACTGGATCGTGAAGCACGTGAACTGCAACCCGCTGTGCGACCTGACCCCCATCTTCAGGGACTACGAGCGCTACCTGGCCAGCATCGAGCAGCAGCACGGCGGCGACAGCGGCTCCGAGGGCGAGGCCACCAACGCCCCTGGCGCCAGGGCCGCCCCTGCCTTGGGGGGCACGAAGCTTCAGGGCTCAGCATTCCTGTTCAACAGCGGCAAAGCCGAGGAGACGGTGGACGGGAAGGCCGAGGCTGCGTCGGAGAAAAAGGAGCCGTCCTTAGGAGCTGCATCGACCGTCTCCTTCAGCTTCGGCAAGAGCACCGACAGCCCCGCGCTGGGTTCCCTCGGCTCAGGAACACTCAGTAGCTTCTCCTTTTCTCCTGGGAATTCGGGTTTGTTTGGAAAAGACGCAAACCAGGCCAAGTCTGTCATTGCAGCACCCACCAGTTTACTGGAAGCTCAGGCAGAAAGCAGCAATACCGATGAGAAAGGTAAATTCTGTTTATTTCTGTTTATGGTTCCGTTAATGGTAAGCTGTGAGCCTGTGCCACTTAAGGATACGGCAAAGGTGCAGCAACAGTGAGTTGAACGAGATCATGGCCTGGAACTGTGCCAGGGCAGGGTCAGGTTGGATCTCAGGGAAAGGTTCTTCCCCGAGAGGGTGGTTGGCACTGAACAGGCTCCCCAGGGCAGTGGGCACAGGGCACCAACACTGCCAGAGCTCCAGGAGTGTTGGGACAATGCTCTCAGGGACGGGGTGGGATTGTTGGGGTGTCTGTGGAGGGCCAGGGGTTGGACTTCATCCTCCGGCTCAGATACTCTGTATTCTATGGTTCTGTGAGCAGAATGGTTCTTGAAGTGCAGACCCACACCAGTAATCTGGAAATCCCAGCCATGCACACGGTTTAAGCGACACTAAAAGTACGTGTTTACCAAAACCCATGGATTTCTGTCAGATTTACACTTTCTCTAATAGAATATAATCCTTTACCTGAAGACAGGACTTGAAAAGATAATATTTAAAGCAGCTGGTATGTTCACCTGTGAGTCTGCTGGACATTTCGATCCCTCTGCTTTTCCCAATAGCTTTATGAAGAGATTCCCTTGGTAAAATGCTTGAGATACAGAACAACTGAGTCCATTTTACTGAACAGACTGTGAGGCCACCAAAGTTACATAGCACCTGACAGCTTTGCTCTTTGCCTCCACTGGGTACAGTGAGCTGATGGAATTCCTAGGAGCTGAGGGATTGGAAAGGCATAATCTGCCACTGCCTCTTGGCTGTCATTCCCACTGCTAATTCCCTTCCTCCAAGTTGAACCTGGCTGCTGGAAGTTTTTATTTAGCTTTACTTGAATTTGTGGAGCACACTCTTTGAAATGTGAAAACTGCTCTCTGTTAAGGGTTTTGACTACTTAAGCTTTGTATTTTGGGGGCTTGATTGTTTGGTGAGGGTTGGGTATTTTCACCCCATTTAAACTCACGATGAGGATGGAGTTGTCTGAGGGCCTGAAGGAAAAGCAAGTAACACTTTTTTTTCTGTAGCTGAAGCTGCTGCAGAGCCCACAGGGACTGAAATGTGTTCTGGTCACGCATGTCCATGTCAAACATGGTGTCCACAAGGAAACTCTTAAGTGCCAAAAACACCCTGTGGGCTCTGTGCTCACAACATTAACATATTCAAACTTTGTTTGAAGGAGGAGAAGAGGAGGAAGAAGAGCCACCAAAAGTCGTCGTTAATGAAATAAAAGAGGATGATGCTTTCTACTCAAAGAAGTAAGTGACTCTGACTTGGAAAATAAAATTCATACCTGCATATTGCTGTTTTTCACTGCAGTGCATGATTAAGGACCTGTTCTTCACTTTCTAATTGATAAAGCTTGTTGGGAATCCACACAGAGTATGAACTTGTAAAAAAGTTAATTACAGGCAAGAATTTGTAATATCTTATTAAAATTCTTCTGTATCTTGAACACAACAGTAATAGTTTGTGTTCTGGTTGTGATCAGTTTTTTACAAGTGAAGATGTTCTTGCCTTCATCAGGTTTTGTAAGTTTAAACTGCAGTGCTACCACAAAAATTTCATGCTGTGTAGCTGGAAAATCCACCAGCTGCTCAGCTATTTGCACAGCCTAAAATAAGACTCTTCAGCTGGAAAATGCTGATTGTTGTGTGAAGGAGTGAACAAGCTGTGCTTTTAAGCTCAAAATGAGACCAGCTGTACTAGGAGCAGTTTTTCAAGGCATGTTCAGTAGTCCAAGTAATTGACACTCAGCACAGAATTTGTCCTGCTACCAAAAGCCATTAGTTTTATCAGAGAGAAGGTGTGTGCTGATTTATTAAGAATGGTTTCTTAGGTTATTAAAGCTTCACTTAAAAATGCTTATAAATCGTACACAAAAGTTCTCCTGTAGCTTCAGAACGTTACAGCAAGTTCTTTGTAATTAGTATTTTTAAACGTAGCTTATACAGTTACTGCTCCTCGCAGAGTGCAAGTTGCTCTGCACTTTACTTTTCCCTGAAAGTAGTACATTTGTCATTTCAGTACTGAAAGAAATAATTACCTTTCTCTTTGATCTGCAAGTGCTGTCTGTTAGCCTGTGAAACAAGGTCAAGAAGAATAAAGATTATTTTATGTCATGTTAACTCCTGGTTGTTGATACTGTGAGTCAGATGGGTACCTGTACTTGGTGTACTTGGGAGATACTGTTATGTCTTTAATCTCTACATGGCTGCACAAACAAGGATTTTGAGTTTGTTGTTTGTTGGTTTTTTTTCCCCCCCACAGGTGCAAACTGTTTTACAAAAAGGATAATGAATTCAAAGAAAAAGGGGTCGGAACATTACACTTAAAACCAGCGGGAAATGAAAAAACACAACTCCTAGTCCGAGCAGATACCAATTTAGGTAAGTGAACTTCTTCCAGTAGCAAGTCTTGATGTGAAGTTCCTTGCTAAGCATTAGGATATTTTTGTGGTTACACAGCTTAACAGACACAGTTAGTGAAAACCTTTCTACTTTTTATTTTCTCTGAATAATTTCACGTATTGAACAAGCACTTGGGTGCCTCTCCTGAGCATTACAAAGAGAGCTCGTGAAGCTGTGCAGGGAGTAAACGTTATGGTGTATGTTTGGGAATTCCTTCCCTCGCCTTTTTTACAATCTTTTCTCCATCCCTGGCTTGAGTGGCCTTGAGGTGTGGCTTAAGGTCCAGCTTCCACAAAATGGAGTATCTGGTATGGTTGTAGAATCCCTGAGGACCAAAGCCAGGCTGCACTGAAGGCCAGGGTAAATCTCAGCTCCCTCCTGCTTTCATCCATGGGCAGGTATTAGGAAGTCTCTCCTTTTTCTGCAGCTCACACAGCAAGACATTTGAGCTTGGGGATTCCAGGCGGGAGTTTCTGGAAGCTGCTGCAGTCATAGTGATGCACACTTTCCTTTTTGCTGTCTTCACACAGTGCTGTATTCCTTTCCTAAAATCTCACTGTGTTGAAAAACTGAACTGCAAAGGGAGGCGAAGACTGACTTTTCCCTAATTCTGCTGCCATGTTCTGAGCTATTTCCCAGGTCTATAAATGTGTGTGTCTCCTGTGGAACCAGACTGGAGTTTGTTTGCCGGTGTTCAGTAGCCCACTAACCCTGGAGCTCTCGCACTCACTGCTCTCCTAACTCACTACCTGCTTTAACAGGTTGCCACAGAGCTGTTGTCAGTAACCTGGCACAGACCACACCAGCTCTGTGGGAGTATTTGGGGATACAAAGTACTTCCTGCACCCTGGTTTGTCCCGTTTCACATTAACACCCCTGTCTGCATCAGAACTAAAGTTTTGTTTCTGCTTCTGAACTGCACCCCATGTCAGAACTAAGCACTGGGAATGGATTCCTCACTTGCTCCTTCTGCCTTTTCCCTGTGTGTCCCTGCCATCATTTGATATTCTTCAGGCTCCTCCCCCTAAAAAAGGAGGGCACAGTTATTTTCAGAGATTTCCTCATTCCTGGTGAGGAAAGAAATTTGAGAACAACGGCCCTGAGCAAATGCTCAGGGAAGAAAATAAGACAAACATACCTGATGTTTGTGAGTTGCCCGAATCCCTGTTTAGTACCTGTACTAACACTGTATTGCAGTAGAAGCTGAACAGTGGCTAATGGCAATTTTTTTCCCCCCTCCTCACCTGCAGGAAACATACTGTTGAATGTCCTCATTCCACCTAAGATGCCATGCACAAGGACCGGGAAGAACAACGTTCTCATAGTTTGTGTCCCCAATCCACCCATCGACGAGAAGAACCCGACTGCTCCTGTCCCCATGTTAATAAGGGTGAAAACAAGTGAGGATGCAGATGAGTTGCACAAAATCTTACTGGAGAAAAAGGAGGCTTAAATAAGTTGCAGTCAGTGATTTGAGGAGTTGTTGCCAAACTGCTGCTGCTCTTTTTTTCTTCCCTAACTTCACTTGAACATTTAACTCTTTACTCTGATATTAAGAACTGTTATAGGAATTCTGGAAAAAAATTATGTGAGGAAAAGCTAAAGTAGCTAATAAAAGCTTTAATAGAACACAAGTGTTGGACTGTGCTCCCTCATTTTTCAGTGTCTAAATGCAGGACCTCTTCTGGATAAAGCACATGGATGTAAATCCAGGCATGTAGCACCGCTCGACCAAATGGACTGAAAGCCGAGTACAGAAACACGGTACCAGAGCTTCCTCACAGACTGATGCAATGCAACCACCTCCTGCTTTGAGAAGGGAGGATGTCCAAGTTTACCTATTGAAACTGTTTGTAGATTCCAGATTTTTAATTCTGATTGGTCTGTTGTATTCTTGCTGGTGAGACTGGTTTCTGACTGGGTGACAACACTGCACCCCACCACTGATGATGTGTATTGTCCTGTGTCTGAACTCACACAGACCCACGTGCTTTTGGGACTCAAGAGACTGCAGATGGTGACAAGAAGATTTGCTTGTGTAGACCTGTTGACAGTGGTGTTTCCTAGAGAACTGTCAGTTCTGTCCTTACTGTAGCAACAAGCTCACGATGTGCAATAGTAGAAGCAGACAACTGGAAGACATTTTATCTGGGACCACACCAGCATCCCCTGGCTTCTGACACACCAGAGGCCAAGGGCTGCACTTCCACGATGGTCCTTCCAAGGTGTTTGTCCTCCATCCTTGGGCCACACCTGCAACGCGGCTGCGGCAGAGCTGTTCGTGTTGTGTTCGTCCTGCTGCTGGTACTTGCTGAGCACAGCTCTTCCCACAACCAAACTTCAGGGCTTTTGTAGACCTTTTGTGTTGCCTCTGGCCCTTCCTTGCCCCTGTGCTAAAGCTGCAGTGCTGTGCTGCACAAGGTGCAGCTTTAGGACAAGCTTTCTGTTGCACGGAGGGAGCGCTGGGTGAATCTCAAACTTAGTTACTGTCAGCTGTGTTAAAATTAACCATGTGGCAATAATTCGTGGATTAGAACATTGATTCTGGTCTTGGTTTCCATCTCTCAGCGTTATATCAGACTCTGGTTGGTGGTTTAATCCTTTTCTTTTGCAAATCCTGTTTGCTGGAAACTCCTTCCCTAGTGATTGTTTGCTACTGCACTCCCAACTCTGGGACCTCTCCGAGAGCTCGGTGTTCATGTTAAACTTGAAGTGCTCTCTGGCTCAGCTCTGGAAGATGGAACAAACATGCCACCCTGCCTCTGGCTAATGTGACACACAGGAAAAACCCTCTTCCTTAGAAAATTCCCACAGGTGATCTGGAAATCAACCCTAGTGGCATCCTGTGGGCAGGGAAAAAGGAGTAGCACCATTTGCTGAGGTACTGCCCCCTGCTCTGGGGGCAGCTGCCTCTGGGCCTAATTCACTGCACAATTCAGGTTATGGCCTTTTTTCCCCCCTCTTAACTAAAAGGAGGAAAAACTTGATAGGATCTTGACCAAAGTTCAAAAACAAAGGCCTTTGCTCACGTTTCAGCCACACTTGGCTACAGGAACTGCGTTTTTAACACTGAAGTGTAAAAGGAGCTTAGATGCTGTTTCAGATTATTATTTCAAATACGAACTGGTGCCTTTGGGGGTTTCTGCGTCTGGCTCAGTACTTAAACCATTAAAAGTCAGTGACATTACTTTCCTCAAAGTAAGATGTTTTTAAAAAATAAGTCTTGCTGCTACCTGAATTGGAGGGCTTGTGTGCTCACTGTGCAGGGATGAAAAGCAGAACATGACCTGGCACTGCAGCCCAGGCTCCAGTGTCAGGTGCAAGAGCTCAGTTAACATTTGCATTTGTCTTTTGAGTGGTGTCTTCCCCCATTTCTGCAGAGCTCTGGCTGTGCATCCCCCGAAGAGCAGCTCTGTCCAGGTGCGCCCGTGGGCTCAGCCTTGTGTTCCTTTGCTTCCGAAAGCTGCTGGATATGGAGCTGCTCCTTCATCCATAGAAATGTGGACCAACAGACTGTCCTTGCCCTTCTGTCCTCGTGCTGTGCCTCTGCAGTGGGGCGGCCGTGGGGTTCTGCACACACAGTTCTGACAGTGCAGCTCTGCCCTGTCTCCAAGGGGGAGCACAGAGGGGAAGGAAAAATAAGAATAATAAATTGTGTTGGAAAAAATTAAACCTTACCATAGGCACGGTAGCAAGTCAGATCTTCTTTTAGCTGTGGGTTATACTGATATGAGACACCTGAATTCTTCAGTGTATGCATTTATCAGCGAAGCCAAGGAAGGTAAATAATTAGGATGTTGTATTCATTAGCCTGTCAAATATATGTACAAAAATACAATTGTAAACATTTTACGTGGGGAAAGTTGCCCCTAAAAGAATGGGGAAGAATTTTACTGCAGATCAGACTTGAATCAACATCAGTTCTGGTGACCCTGCCGTTATCTGGATTTTGGAGCAAGGAAGTCACACACCTTTCCCTTGGGGCTCAGGTCTAGAGCACAGCCCTTCTGCAGCACTGTCAGAACAAAGACATTTTTGATGATGCTCCAGTTAAGAAATATTAAAATACACAAATGCTGTAAAAGGTGAGAGATTGTGACATAGAAATAAAGACCTAAAATGAGTTAAAAGCAAACATTAGGGGAGAGCATAGACATCAACATACTAATGCCTTCATAACAAAGTGGCTCATGCTATCCAAGGAAGGAATTTTGATCAGAATTCCTACTCCGGGAGGCATTCCTGTGTCTTGGGAGACATTTGATGTATTTACAGCTGGATATCAGACACCTGATGTTAAAGATGCAAGTTCCTGCCCTTGTTTGCGTTAATGCCTTTGCTGTCTGTAGGTGTTGGAGTGTCTTAGGGATCATCCATTCCTCCTGCTTCTCTGATTTGAAGTTTCAGCTGCTTAGAAATCTTTCCTCTCCCTCTCACCTCTCCACTAGAAAATCAAGATCTGTGCTTTTTAATTCTCAGAATAACCTCTAAGGGAGGATTATTACACCTGGTTTGAATTTTATTTTAAAATATTAAATTGCAATATGCAAGGAATTTATTTTTGTTTGTAATGTACTTAAAATTATCTATTTGGGAGTACAGCAGTGTGTTCCTGTAATCCCTTTTGGTTGATGGATGTAAAAGTTTAATTTAAATTTACAGTTCGAATGAACACATTGTAGAACATAAACCAATCAGGAGGTTTGCTTTGCTGTTACAAACTGTAGTTCAGCTCCCTTTGCAGCACTGTAACATTTCAAATGTCCTTAAAGACTTTCTTTCTGATGCCTTAACTTATTTGCATTTGAGAAAATTTTGTAGCTGGTGCCTGTGTGCAGAAATTAACTGACATTAAACAACTGAAGTGGCATGAGCTAGTCTAAATCCAATGAAAATGCTGAATGTGATGATTTGTTAGTTGTTAATAGATTTCAAAATGCTCTGAATTTTTCAGTGGATACTTAAGTTTTACATAACTCGTCATGTAACAATGTTTTCATTAGTTCTGATACACTGAGGACGTGTACAAAAATCCATGGAAAATGTGAATAAAATGAATGGGAGATTCAATTGTCTTGTGTCAATCACTGTCATTTTGAGTGCATAACACTGTTAATAAAAGGAATTGTACCACCAGTTGCTTGCAGGTGAACTCCTGCCTGGAAAACCGTGCTGCTAAAAGAAGGAATATCCTGCCCTGGCCTTTCCTCATTCAAACCTGGAGCCAGTTAAGACAGTTTGTATCAACATCTCTACCCAAACTGCCCAGGACTTTTTGAATAAAGAAAGAGAAGCAGAATTTACACGGTTTGAAGTAATCATCAGTATAATTAGCCACATTTTTGGTAGGTTTGTGCACTGTTCATTTTTTAAGGCATTGTTTAGAAATTCTTATTTGCACCTGAGCATCCTGAACATTGGTGGGGATTACTTTTAGGGACATCTTAACTTTTGCTGAGAGGTGACACTGAAAAGAAGCATGTCTGGAAGTCTGCAAAGGCTTCAAAGATATGACAGAATTTTCCTGTTTGGGCAGTACCCCTGAGGAAGAAGTGTGACTTTGCTTTACTACCTCAGAGCACAGATGACATAACACAGTACAAAATCTTCTGTCTAAACTAGTTCTGGAGCTCTACCTGAACTGGTGGGCGCTTGGGGCAATTCTGTTCACTGCAATTCCAGAGAAAACTTGCAGGTGGTTTCTCCCTTGCAAAAACCAAATTCCTAACTCTGAAGAGAAAATGGTGGATTACATACCAAACTTAATTAATCTGGCAGTTAATGAAATCTCTGTTTTCTTACCTTTGCAGTGAGGTCAGAAATGACTCCTGTGACCAACCACCTGCGTTGGGCGGGGTACCACGGACATCCATAGCAGGGAGCACAGCATTCCAAATCTGTGCTGAGATGAAAGCCTGGATAATAACTCCTCCTGCTCCTTGATGCTACTTCCATCACTGTCATTTTCCAAGGAAAACCCAGTCTGACACTTGCAGTGATGAAAGAAGGTTGTGGCCACCCTCTCGTCCTTCGGGAACAAAGCAAAGCCTCCCCCCCACTGGGTGCACGTTTAAGGCATTGGCTGCTTCCAGTAGGGGCTGGATGAACACAATGGCTGCATCCCAATTACAGGCCGAGTGCAGGACTTGGGAAAGTCTGTAAACTGCTCCTGCTGAATCTCCCCAGCAGGAAAAGCAGAACCACAAACATGACCACACTTCAATGTCCGGGGGAGATGGGAGGGGACAGAGCAGGGGTGAGTCAGCACACACTGAAATGCTCAGTGCACACAATCCAAGGCAGTGCAGAGATAAAGGCTGAGCTCGGTTTTGTGACATTGCACAAACCCTCGCTGAAGTTCTTCCTGAATTAATCGGGAAGAAACCATGACAGCCATCGGTCCTCACTATCATGCACTGCACAAACTTAAATGTTAATGACCATGCAATTAAACGTGGATCAGTTTAAAAGGGTTGTCCTAAAGGCAAAAAGCTCTTCCAAACAAATTCAGGACCACACTGACTCTTACCTTCTTCTCCCTTACCCAATGTCAAGTTGTCAGAGACTGACCACTGAGAAAAAAACACGATTAACAGAGTCCACAGTCGTTTAAGAGGTCTGTTTATTGGCTGCA